TTTTGTTAACCTCTCAGGTCGAAGAATGAAATGTCTGTTTGCTTCTTAGTGTGGGAAGGTATTTTTTAGCGTACTGTAGTATATGTCTGAGATATTTATAGTAGTTCTTTCTGGTTGGTCTGTGAATGTTCGGCTCTTTTTCCTGTTCGCTACGTCCTGGTGCGGTTCGGTAATTTGAATTTGCCTTGGAAAGATGAGTGTGTGTGTATTAGAGCAGCGGAATGTGAGAAAAGAGTGGAAGTACACAGGTGGTATCATTTTAAGTGGTGCTTAGTCCATGGAAACGCTTGGTGTTATGCATGAATCCTGAACACTTGCCCTGGAAATTACGCACGGATGCGTGGATGGCAGCTTCCCTGCGGCATGGCCTGTCTGCATGTCAGTTTGGTTAAACTGAGGCATTTTCTCATTTCTAAATGATATGATGAAACCCAGGTGCTGCAGTCCTGTAAACCGCTTTTTTGTCTTTGTGCGTTTATTGGGACAGATGGTTCTGTCAGACTGGAGGAGCTAAGCCTTCCTTAATACGGTTAACACATCTAATATCAATTTGAGTTTTCAGACTGAGGTTTATCCCTCAGCCTCTGCAGGACCGCATTACTGCACGTGAAGTCCAGAGACATATCGTCAGACAAGGAATCAGACCTGTTTCTAGATGAAACATTCTGCATATTTTGAACATCTTGGACATGTTAAGAATGAGTCAGATGAGATTGTTTGTTTATTTAACATGACAAATAATTGGAGTTGGAATCCAAAGGAGTCATCGGCTTAAGGTCATTTAGACCTTTTGTAATAAAAGAAATATTGTTATTCTGCTACAATAGATGCGTAACGGTTAATAAAAACAATGAGGACAGGTCATTTTGATGTTTTCTAAACACACTGTAATTTGCTTCAGAATGTGAACATGCTCATAATTGTCAAACCTTAAAAGATGTATATTTAGTTCAAAATGAATAAAATCGGATGATAAAACTGGTATTGGTTATTCTGCCTACAAAGGCAAAACACAGTAATTATGCTGACACTGAAACTGAGATGTTTTTTTGCGTGTATGCTTGTATGTGTAGTAAGTACGTGAGTAACAGTGTTTCCTTTCAAACTGTGTGTACTTAGTTGAACTAAGATAGTTTGTCATGTGATAAAACCGAGCCTTAGACCCCATTTCAGTCATAACTCAGTTTTGATAAAATATGCAGTTACGATGTTTCGTCTTTAGTAAACAGTCCTGCCGAACAATGAAATCCTCCCACTGTACAGTACATTCCTGGATCTTGCACTGCCGGAAGGGTGACTGGCTTGGGCTTTCCTCAACTTCATCCTGGTTGCTGATAGCGGTTGCCAATGTTTGTTGATAGCCACTAACACAAAGGCTGCCATAAACACATACACATGAAGTATCTTGTACGCTGGGCTGCTTGTGGGCTTCATGTGCGGCGCTGGTCACCGAATGCGTCCCCTTTTCCACAGGGCTTTGCTGGCACGGGGTCTCGCAGCCACCTTTCGCGCCACTAACGTTTAGTAATCAAAAGCAATACTTGAAGCTGCCTGATCCCTGATTCGCTGAGAGCTGGGAGGCTGCAGATGGCCGCCTCTTAAGTGGTGGATTAGTGTGTTTCGCGAGCGATTGAGATTTAACGGATTTCTCCGGGGCAGCATTGTGCTGTTCACGGCTCAGCTATGTGGCTTTTTAGGCGTGGCCGTTACTATGCCCACGCCGCCCGGGATGATGTCATCACGCTGCATGGGCTGTGTGCTGGGGGGGCGGGGGGGGGGAATCTGAAGGGAGGGTCAGCGTGGCAGCGACAATAATAATGTCTCATTGTATGAGGACCGCTGCCTGCCTGCCTGACTGCCAGTTTCTGTAAGGCGGTGTCGTTTGGCCGGTGACGCGTGCTTGTTTTTCCTCTTAGCTGTCGTCCACGCCTGTTTGTGTACGTTTTGCTGAGGGGCGTGACCCACATGTTAGCCTGGTGGGTGTGCCGCCTCATTTTCTGCTTAGCGTAAAGCGCATAGCTAAGGCATCTGCCGATGAGATGGAGCCTCGGCATCGAAAGGGGATGGAAGGTTTCGGGGGGGGTAATGCCAGGCTGGGGGGAGACTGGGAGCAGGTCAGGCTTGAGATGAGATGCTCGCACCCTATCTGCTGATTATTCATTGGCTGCCGAGGGCTCTGGCATGTCTGTGGCCCTTTGGAATGAGGGACGGGGCCTTGGGCCCTCTGGGGTGCTGGTGTCCGCAGTCTCGGTCTAAGAGACATGCTTTTTGAGCTGTGTGATAGGCTGTCAGAATGAGGGCCCGCAGGCCAGGCGCCTGGGGACCTGGGGAGAGAGTGCAGGGTTTGTGGGGGCTCCTTCGTCCTTGTTTGCTGTTTTTGCTTAAGCAGAATGACAGTTGTGGGGTGTTTTTTTGGGTCACTTCTCGGGGGGGGG